AGGGGGGGTGTCCTCACCTCGCCTGAAGTATTCAGTCTGGTCTAGACTCGCTGGGTGGTTGGACGTATTCCAGACAAGAAGTGATTTAATCTCCCTTATTGGCTCTTGTTGGAAGATCGTCTCTTGTCTCATTATTGTTAGTTCTGGAGACTGTTCACAGAACATTGTATAGACTTAGTGATTTTCGACGTTGTACTGAGGTTGTGTGTCGCATAGACACTCTGAGCAACTCAGGTCCTGAGCTGTAGCTTCTGACCTATCTTTTACTGGTATCTGTGTATTATCACAGTCGGGGATTTTCTTATGCTAAACTTAGATTCAGTAGTATGGGAGCTTTGTGACTTTTGTGGAGGATCTGCAGGTGGTCCCTACTTAGTGTCGTTATATTATCTCCTTGTTCCTGATTCTGTGTCGCAGTTGCTTGTTATATTGCTATTGGGCTTAGCATTCTTTTTATTGTTCAAGCAGACTGTTCTGATTGCCAGTTGGTCAAGAAGTTAGTTTATTTGAGGACTTTGTCAGTCAATTGTTTAGGTCTAGTCGAGTCGAGAGACATAGCGAACTACTAAGAGCACTTACACACATACACACAAACTTACTTGTACATATTTGTAATATCGTATTAAATGTTAATGTACCAGACGGTACTTAAGACTTATAAATGTAATATGTGCTTTCAGCACAATAATACTGTACACGAGAGAAGTGATTAATATTATTTTGATTACTGTAATTAATTTAATTTAATTTGATATACCTCTAGACGATACTTAATAAATTTATTAAATTTTAATTTCTCTAGTTAGTAGCCTACCAGTTATAATCCTGAAGCACTATTGAATCATACTGAAGTCTAATGGATAATTGGACAAGGATACTGACTAATTGTTAAAAAACCCAGTAACAGGCTGGATGCTAGAAGGGCAGTCCTTTCTAGTATTCACTGGAGATCTCTAAGCTTTTAGAATCGCGTTTTTTGTAACAGGGCCTCAGGTAATGTTACCAGCTGGAGGCCTCAGGTAATGTTACCAGTTGTGGGACGCCAGGTAATGTTACCAGTTGGAGACCTCAGGTAATGTTACCAGTTGGGGGCCTCAGGTTATGTTACCAGCTGGGGACATCAGGTAATGTTACCAGCTGGAGGCGTCAGGTAAAGTTACCAACTGGGGCGTCAGGTAATGTTACCAGCTGGGGCGTTAGGTAATGTTATCAGCTGGTGGCGTTAGGTAATGTTACCAGCTGGGGGCGTCAGGTAATGTTACCAGCTGCGGGCGTCAGGTAAAGTTTCCAGCTGGGGCCTCAGGTAATGTTACCAGCTGGGTGCCTCAGGTAATGTTACCAGTTGTGGGGCCTCAGGTAATGTTAGCAGTTGGGGGCGTCAGGTAATGTTACCAGCTGGGGGCCTCAGGTAATGTTACCAGCTGGGGGCCTCAGGTAATGTTGCCAGTTGGGGGCTTCAGGTAATGTTACCAGCTGGGAGCGTCAGATAATGTTTCCAGTTGTGGGGCGTCAGGTAATGTTACCAGCTGGGGGCGTTAGGTAATGTTACCAGCTGAGGACGTCAGGTAATGTTACCAGCAGGGGGCGTGAGGTAATGTTACCAGCTGGGGCCTCAAGTAATGTTACCAGCTGGAGGCCTCTGGTAATGTTACACGTTGGGGGCCTCAGGTAATGTTACCAGCTGGGGGCTTCAGGTAATGTTACCAGCTGGAGGCCTCAGGTAATGCTACCAGTTGAGGGCGTCAGGTAGTGTTACCAGCTGGGGGCCTCAAGTAATGTTACCAGCTGGGGCGTCAGGTAATGTTGCCTGCTGGGGGCGTCACGTAATGTTACCTGCTGGGGCGCCAGGTAATGTTACCAGCTGGAGGCCTCAGGTAATGTTATCAGCTGGAGGCCTCAGGTAATGTTATCAGCTGGAGGCCTCAGGTAATGTTATCAGCTGGAGGCCTCAGGTAATGTTATCAGCTGGAGGTGTCAGGTAATGTTATCAGCTGGAGGCCTCAGGTAATGTTATCAGCTGGAGGCCTCAGGTAATGTTATCAGCTGGAGGCCTCAGGTAATGTTATCAGCTGGAGGCCTCAGGTAATGTTACCATTTGGGGGTGTCAGGTAATATTACCAGCTGGGGGGCTCAGATGATCTTTCTCTCTCAAAGGATCCTGTTCTCTCTTACGTACTCCTACACAGACTCCTTACAGACTGCTTACAGATTCCTTACAGGCTTTTTACAGACTCCTATAGGATCCTTATCACCTCATATTATCTTACAACCTGTCACAGGCTCCTGTACCAACTAACACGACCATGCTCCAGCTCACAGGCTCCTGTACCAACTAACATGACCATGCTCCAGCTCACAATAGCCCACTAGAGGTAAGGTTACTCACCGGTTTTTTTGCAACGTCGTCACTCCTGCAGTGACTCCTCTTGCAGCCCTGTTAAAAAAAAACTCGATTTTATACTTTGAAGATCGCTGGCAAATCAACATTGAGAGTAAAATATAAATGTGGTTATTTGAGAGTGTATCTTACAGTCCGCTCGGAATGTCTCTTGATTTAAGTTCACGCTGCCAGAGTTTGAAGCCATGTTTATTTTCTAGCCTGGCTTCTAATTGTAGCTAGGCATCTGGAGGTTGTAGTGTCGTTAACTACAGACAAGGAATGTCACTAAGCATCTGGAGGTTGTAGCGTCGCTTACTACAGACAAGGAATGTCACTAAGCATCTGGAGGTTGTAGTGTCGCTAACTACAGACAAGGAATGTCACTAAGCATCTGGAGGTTGTAGTGTCGCTAACTACAGACAAGGAATGTCACTAAGCATCTGGAGGTTGTAGTGTCGCTTACTACAGACAAGGAATGTCACTATAACCTCCCGAAAAAACAACAGTTCTACTGAGTTGTTTCTTCTGGCCACAATTGTCAGTCGGGGTCATGACACGACACTCCTTCAGTTATTTAGTACATGACATTACTTCCTCTTTTTTCGCTTTTTTTTATATTTTACAAGAATAATGGAGCACAGGGGTAAAAAAGTGTGTTTAATTGGAGTTCCACGCAACTTAAAGAAAAATGGACACAAGGTTATAAAACTCGTCTGCCGTGACTATATCTGTGTTGACAGTATGAGCTTCGTGATGCCTAGATCCTCGTGAAAGGCTCTTGATCCTGGGAACAGGAACTATACTCCACTTCCTTGGATCGAAGTTGATTAAGAACAAAAAGGCACGACACCGTGACTGGAACAATACATAGATAACCCGCACATAGGAGAGAGGAGCTTACGACGACGTTTCGGTCCGACTTGGACCATTTGCGTGTTGCGTGACTTGTTAATTGTCCACGTTGGACCGATACGTCGTCATAAGCTGCTCTCTCCTGTGCGGGTTATTTATGTATCGAAGTTGATTATTTTCCAGTCCCCAAACGCTGTATGATCCCCTACGGATTTAGCGCTTTCCCTTCAGAGACTAACAAATTATAATCCATCCTACAGAAAAATACTACAAAATTTCGACACATTGGAAAAACAAAGACAAATGCAGTACATCTCGGTCATTTATTGACAACGTTTCGCCCATGCAGTAGGCTTGATCAAGTCACAAGTGAATTAACCTGCATAGAGTTGCAGGTAGTTTCCCAGGAGGGATCCTTGCCCGGGTCTTCTCCGTGTGGTGACCCGACATCTACCTGGAGGAGCTTCTACGTATATTAG